TGACCTTTGAGTCAAGATGTTCCTTTTTTCCTCCATCTTCCTCTAAGGTGGAGAATGTCCCGTTCCCATAAGGAAAAGAATCTACTGCTGTTTGTTCTCTGGGTAATCATTCTGAAAAATTATGCCTCACTCACAGCTGAAGTGTATGAGTTACAAAATCATAGAACTTTAGTCACTATTGTTTTAAACATAAAATACTAACAATTTTACTAAAGCTGATATGTTTAAAATTTAGTATTCCTTAAGAGGCGCTGTCATTAAAATAGAAAAAAATGCAGCAGAACTGATGAGGATTGAGCTATTATGGGCGAGGAGGATTGAGAAGATGTTGCAAGTGTCTGCAGGCATCTTAAGGCATGCACTTTATAAATTGCAGCAGATATTTTGAATTATTTTTAAACAGATTCAAGAGAATACCACACTTGCACTGTATATGTACTATGAGATATCTGAGTCATAAATCTGAACGGTGTTAATAAAATTTCTCTATAGCTGCCAAATAGACACCTATACACAGTACAGTGCTAATAAAAAAGTAATTGCCTGCATGTAATTTGTTTTACCATATCCAATTTGTAATGATCATAATTTAATTATTCAGACATACATTTTTAATTAATCTAAAAAAATGCACTTAGAAAGTCTATTCCCATAGATTCGCTGGAGGATATGTGATAAAAAGCAGATCCTGCAAACCTTTCATCTAATGTAAACAATCATCAATTGTGACAAATTGAAGTACTCAAGGAATATCCGTTGTCTTTTCTGGTTTAAAAGATTAATCACAATGTAATTTACTACAAGGATAATAGTTCTATATTTTTATTACATGGTGTTTTCGTACAGTAATGCTAGATACACTATTAGAAATTACACAATGCATTGTTTAACTTTCTAATTGAGCTTTGCTTGCAGTTCATGTTGCCGGTAAGTACCAAGTGGAGTCAATCAGAATTGACTGTATTTTGGTCCCTACATCATTTTATTAAGTAAGTGTGACAATCCAAGGTCTATCATTTTTTTTTTTTTAAACTAGAAGTTTTGAACTATGCCAATGCTAGTCTATTTGTGGTTTAATCATGTGCCATGCCTATGCTGTCTCATTGGGGCATCCCTATGTATTCAAACATAAACCATTCACGTCTTTTTTTTTTTACTCCTTTTATCAACTTTGGAAACATTATTCAAAAGGGTATTGTCAATTGCCCATTTAAGGCAAAGTGGCAGTGCCCTTGGATAGCCCACCCCCCTAAAAAAGGTATACTCATCTATCCACAATCCCTTGTTGCTTCCCCACTGCAGTAGGCTATGCAAAATAAGACCCAATGTCGGATCATACTGAAACTGGGGTGGATGAAGTAATCTCCCCAGTACCTTCTTCAGACCACTACCTCAGCAACATTTCTAACTTTAATGGTGCTCTTACCTTCATGCAAAGAGCACCTTAAAGCCAATTTCAACCTTGAAAGATGCAAATCCAAATGTTTTCAGACCATCTATTCTGGATCTGGTTTATCAATGGGAGTTATCAGTTTTAAACAATTATTTATTATTTAATCAACCCTAATTTTGCACTTGATTTTCTGAAATTATATGGCCATTATGATTTTAAATTCAAAAGAATGATTTTACCTAAGTACATAAGAAAAGAATAAACAATGTATTGATATTCCTTTTTATATACGAAACTTCTTACAAAATTCTCATCCAGGCTATAGTTAGCTAATCCACAGCAAAAATTAAAGGCATTGACATGTTAAAACCAACCATCTCACTTACCTCTCAATTACCTATAGAATTTGTGATGTATTAGGTCCATTTTTATATTAGGAAATTTGCATTTCTTCCCCAATATCATAACAGCCTTTGTTTGTTCAAGCATGACGTCACCCCCAACAGTCTCTTGTGTGCTCAGGCTCCATGCCCATGCCAGAGTCCCCCAAAATGTTCCATTGCCAGAAAATGCAAAAACATATCTTAAATGTGCCTCATGTACAAACACACTTTCCTATCTATTTTGTTGATTTTCATAAATTTAAAAGTATAGAAAGTTTTTGGGAAAAGAAAGTGAATATTAAAACAAATTCCCTTCCTCACACAAAAACCCTTAAAATACTACAATACCTATTTATTGCGATTTGTAGGTTAGCAGGACAGCAATTTCCTATCAATACCAACCAGATGCAGAGCCAGTTTTGATTGGTTCAACTATATCTGGGTGCTGAAAGGCTTTTGGAGCTATTAAAAGCCAAACTGCACTTTGCAAGGGAATTTGCCCCGGATCTTAATGATTGTGGTGAAATTTCACTTTGCAAAGAATACTCAATTGAAAGCAAAGAAAAAAATATAGTAGCATTTTTGCTTGCACATAATTGGATGATGTAAGTCAGCAAGGCTTCACCGCATTCAGTAAGCTCTGGGGCAAATTCCTTTTCAAACTGAAAAGCTTATTTGACTTTAGTCAATCAACCCCAATATATTTATAAATTAATTTTATATTTTTTGAAAGTAACAGTAAAGAGCTGTGTTATTCTCATGAAATAGCTACTGCCTGAGGCTCGTCACACTTTATTCAACATTAGTTTTTTGTAAGAACAAGCCATCTATCCCAGTCTTTAATCATACTTGAATTTAATGCTATGCTTTCTTTCCTTCCTTTCATCTAAGAGATCACCTTGGAGTTAAGTCTGCTGTTATTTCAAAATGTGTTATGCTGCATTAAGCAGCTGAAAAAAGTGCAAATTCTCAGACAGGGGATGCCGTTTTAGTATTTGAACTTGTAGCATTACCTGAATGTGTGAAGAACTGTCTGTTAGATGAGCATCAAAACATAACTTTTTGCCCACGCTTTTGTGAACACACACATCTTCTATAAGTATGACAAAATTTATAATCCCTGCATCCTACTCTACACATTTCTGCTTCCTTTTTATATCTGGATTTTGGTTGGCCACTTAAAGAGCAATAGTCTGTACAAAATACAAAATGTTATGGCCTGGTATATGTCTATGATATGATTTGCTGCAGTATTAGTTACGTAAGAGGAAGTATACAGAGAAGATATATTGATTTGATCCTAATAGTAATGAAGATGTGTGTATTAACCCTTTGAGGACCAAGGGACGTATTTCTCCCATGTTTTTAATTGCGTGTATCATCTGATTAAGAACTTAAAACTCTTTTTTTTTTGGTTTGAGTCAAAATATTAGTTCTTATCAACAAACAACAAATGGATCTAGCTTTTTGCCAATTATTTCATGAAATGGCTTAGTTACAGCAACTGAAGTGTACGAACTTTAAAAACAAAAAAATTGATTCTTTTGGCGTTCCAAAATCTTACGGTCCGCAAAGGGTTAACCCCATATATATTATATAGAGAGTACCCACTTTTGTTGTGATAAGAAAAGAATCCCTCTGGTGATTTATGTATCTTGCAAGGATTTTAATAGACTTTGCTGTAGATTCTTTGCTGTTTCTGCTCTGAAGAAAAAGCTGTTTACAGACTAAATTCGAATGGGAGGAACTGGTTCATTATAATCACCTGGTGCATTCTCAGTGTCCTGATGAGAATAGCTGTAGAATCTGCATTCCTTTAGAAGTAATGAGCCGTTAGGGACTATGTCACCAAATACAAATTTCTGTTGCAGAGGAGGCCTAAAATATGACTTGTATGTTAGTGCAGATGTCTGAGAAATTCAGTGGGCTAACCACTCAAGCACATTTGGATATGTTCTACTATATTCATTTTTTTTTTTCAAGCAGAGAACTATATTAATTTTCTGTATTTTTTTCTTCCACAAAAGTAGAGTTACCTTTTAAATTTGAACTCTAGGCAGATAGCTAAAGACACAGATGGAACAAATATAAAACTGTTGTTCTACCTGCAAAATTATTCCTAGTTCTGTTCATCCTGTTCTCAGTTTCGCACAGCTCTGCCACGTGATACCATTCTGCTTGGCAGGATATGAAAGCCGTTTTTTCTCTGCTGCAGTTCAGTAACATTTATCAGTGTCCTAACAACCCCCCCCCCCCCACCCAAATAATTGTGAAAATTAAAAGAAAAAGAGCAAACTCATGAGCTCATTTCTCTGTCACTTCATTTTTTCCTTCTATCAGAATACTCATTGCACTGCAGCATGACTCATTGGCTTCTTGTGCTAATAATCCGATTGAGATGCTGTGACATGACAGGCCGCTCATGCTTAAAAACCCTCCAATTGTAGACATTCGTTTGGTCCTCATCTAATTTCAGAAGAATTTTTGGTTATTTGGAGATTCGGATGTATCAGAATTTCCAAATAACAATAGTAATTAATTTTCATTAAAATTTGTTTCATTTATTTGTTTTCTAATCATCCAAATTCTGTGATAAGTACAGCTGGTTTTTAAGGGCTTCCTGGCCCTCTTCTTCACAAGCAGCTATTCTTCACACAGAAATTGAATCGGTCGATACATTTTCGACAATTCGAATTTGAATCCTTCTAGAAATTTGAAGGATGAATAAACAAAAAGAAACAAAATGAAACGAAAGGAAACTAAATGAATTCTGAAACGAATCTACAAAACAAAATTAGTAACATAACTGATTTATCTGAAACAAAACAAATTTCTGTTCTGAACATATCTACTCCAATGTGGCTGAACTAAAACAATTCTGCAATGTGAAAGACTTATTGCCAGTTATTGCAAATGCTTGATTGCAGTTGCTGTCTCCAAGGGTGGCACAACCAGTTATTAGGTTTAGGGGGCAATTTCTTTTTCACATAGGGCCAGGCAGGTTTGGACAGCTTTTTTCCCTTAATAAAGGAAATCATCATTTAACCACCTTCCGCCCGCCCTATAGTACAATGACGGGTGCAAGGTGGTTCTCTTGTTCTGATAGGACGTCATATGACATCCTCCCATTCTCACTGCACATGCGCGGCTCAGGGAGCGTGCAGCGCGGCGATCGCCGGTCCGCTGTGTCCCTCGGACACAGTGGATCACGGAAAGAGCCGAAGATGTCAGCTCGGTCATGTGATCAGCTGTGTCCAATCACAGCTGATCACATGTAAACACGGAAATGCCGGTTATCGGCATTTCTCTCCTCTCGAGCTGTCACATTGACAGCTCGAGAGGAGAGGAGAGCCGGTAATTCTTTCTCACGGAGGGGACATGTACACTGATCATCGGGGCACTGCTGATCAGTGTGCCCTGATGATCAGTGTGGCCCCAGAAGTGCCACCTGTCAGTGCTCAGCAGTGCCAGTGCCCATCAGTGCCACGTGCCAGTGCTCATCAGTGCCACATCAATGCCACATGTCAGTGCCCATCTGAGCTGCCTTTCAATGTCACCCATCAGTGCCACCCATCAATGCCTATCAGTGCCACCTATCAGTGCTGCCAATCAGTGCCACCTATCAGTGCCAGTCAGTGTTGCCTATCAGTGCCAGTCAGTGCCGCCTATCAGTGCCAGTCAGTGCCGCCTAACAGTGCCAGTCAGTGCCGCCTATCAGTGCCAGTCAGTGCTGCCTATCAGTGCCGCCTATCAGTGCCATATATCAGTGTCATGTATCAGTGGCATGTATCAGTGCTGCCTTTCAGTGCCCATCAGTGATGCCTGTCAATGCCCATCAGTGCAACCTACCAGTGCCTCCTCATCAGTGCCCATCAGTGCCACCTATCAGTGTCCATCAGTGCAGCCTATCAGTGCCCATCACTGCAGCCTCATTAACGCACATCAGTGAAGGAGAAAAAATCACTTATTTACAAAACTGTATAACAAAAACTAAGAAAAAACTTTTTTTTTTTTCCAAAATTTTCTGTGGTTTTTGGTTTGTTTAAGAAAAAATAAAAATCCCAGAGGTGATTAAATACCACCAAAAGAAAGCTCTATCTATCTAAAAAAAATGATAAAAATTTCATATGGGTACAATGTTGCATGACCGCGCAATTGTCATTCAAATTGTGACAGCGCTGAAAGCTGGAAATTTGCCTGGGCAGGAAGGGGGTATAAGTGCCCTGTAGGCTAGTGGTTAAAAACTGCATTTTGTATTTACTTGGGTCATCTTTGTGTAATATTAAAATATGATGGTCTGAATCATTTAAGTGTGACAAATATGCAAAAAATTAAAAATCAGGAAGGGGACAAATGATTTTTTGCAGCACTGTACTTGATCCAGGTCAATGACAAAGTATTGACGGCAAAACATCAGCATGACAGCCAGGAAATAAGGATTTTCAGATTGACTGGACAAGAGTGGCATCCCTCACACAGTATTTCATACAGGTTTCTCTAAGGCTTGATTCAATGCAAAATGTGCCAGTCCATAAATATAAAGAAGGACCTAATTCAAAATCATTTTGCAAAAAAAATGTTTGTCAACTTTTTTTTCAACTTTTATGGAAACGTGGGGATGGCACAATTTATCAGCCGACGTGGCAGTCTCTCTAATAGACACAGAGGGGTTTATTTACTAAAGCTGGAGAGTCCAAAATCAGACTCCCTTCTGCATAGAAACCAATCAGCTTCCAGGTTTCATTGCCAAAGCTTCATTGAACAAGCTGAGGTTAGAAGCTGATTGGTTTCTATGCAGAAGGGAGTCTGATTTTGGACTCTCCAGCTTTAGTAAATAAACCCCAAAATGTCTGCTAACATATCAGTCTTTCTGATAGCCATAATTTATCAGTTAACATGGCATTCTCTCTGGTAGCCAAAATGTATCAGCTAACATGGCAGTCTTTCTAATAGCCATAAATTCTGTGCTAATTAGCAGTCTCTCTTTAGCCTCAATGTCACTGTTAAGGGTCCTTTCACACAGGTGCTGTCCATTCCAATCAGCAGGAGATCTGTCCGCTGAACCCCTGCTGATTGGAACAGAGCAGGTGAATGGCAGTCTGTGTCCAATTCTGCAGAGCGGACTCTGCTCTATTTAACTCTGCTGTCCGTTTATACTCAGCTGCCTCCGATCCGGTCTGCGTGAATGGAATAGGGCACAGTCCTCCATTTTGTTTTTAGTGGGCCTGATCAGACCCCGAGGTAGGTGGGTATAAATGGACACAAGTCTGTTTACACCTGCTGCTCCATAGAAGTGCTCGGATCCTCCGATCAGTTCCGTCAAAATAACTGAAAGGCGGACCTTATTGGATCTACCCTGTGAAAGGACCGTAAGTCTCTATGATAGCCACAACTTCTCTTCTAACATAGTAGTCTCTTTGACCTTATTGCAGCCTCTCTATCACAGCAATATTTTTCTGATGTGTTGGTTTCTCTGATATGCCTCTCTCTTTGGAAGTATGTAAGCCTTTTTTTGAAAACAGGGCATTTTATAGGTTAACATGGCTGCATTTTATGCCAATAATAGTAACAACGCTAACCAAGAAAGTTGCAATATAAATTATATACTACTCAAAAAAATTAAAAGAACACTTTGAAAACACATGAGATCTCAATGGAGAAAAATATGCTGGATCTCTATACAGATATGGACTGGGTAATGTGTTAGGAACACAAGGATGCCCCGTCGTTTGATGGAAATGAAAATGATCAACCTACAGAGGACTGAATTCAAAGACATCCCGAAAATCAAAGTGTAAAAATGATGCAGCAGGCTAATCCATTTTGCTACATTTCATTGCAGCAATTCAAAATGGTACTCAGTAGTTTATATGGCCCCCATGTGCTTGTATGCATGCCTGACAACGTTGGGGCATGCTTCTAATGAGATGACGGATGGTGTCCTGGGGTATTTCCCAGATCTGGACCAGGGCATCACTAAGCTCCTGGACAGTTTGAGGTGCAACCTGGCAGTCTCGGATGGACAAAAACATGATATCCCAGAGGTGTTCTATTGGATTTAGGTCAGGCGCGTGTGGGAGCCATTCAATAGTATCAATTCCTTCATCCTCCAGGAACTGCCTGCATACTCTTGCCATATGAGGCCAAGCACTGTCATGCACCAGGAGGAACCCAGGACCCACTGCAGTCAGTGTGCCATTGCCTAGTCTGTAGAGGTCTGTGCGTCCCTCCATGGATATGCCTCCCTAGACCATCACTGACCCACCACCAAAACGGTCATGCTGAACAATGTTACAGGCAGCATAACATTCTCCACTGCTTCTCCAGACCCTTTCACATCTGTCACATGAGCTCAGGGTGAACTTGCGCTCATCTGTGAAAAGCACAGGGCGCCAGTGGTGGACCTGCCAATTCTGGTGTTCAATGGCAAATGCCAACCAAGCTCTATGTTGCCAGGCAGTGAGTACAGGGCCCACTAGAGGAGGTTGGGCCCTCAGGCCAGCCTCATGAAGTCTGTTTCTGATTGTTTGGTCAGAAACATTTTCATACCAGTGGCCTGCTGGAGGTCATTTTGTAGGACTCTGGCAGTGCTCATCTTGTTCCTCCTTGCAAAAAGCAACAGATACCGGTCCTGCTGATGGGTTAAGGACCTTCTATGGCCCTGTCCAGCTGTCCTAGGCTAACTGCCTGTCTCTTGGAATCTCCTCCATGTTCTTGAGACTGTGCTGGGAGATACAGCAAACCTTCTGGCAATGGCACGTATTGATGTTCCAACTTGGAGGAGTTGGGCTGCCTGTGCAACCTCTGTAGGGTCCAGGTATCACCTCATGTTACCAGTAGTGACATTGACCCTAGCCAAATGCAAAACTAGTGAAAAACAGTCAGAAAAGATGAGTAGGGAAAAAAAATGTCAGTGGCCTCCACCTATAAAACCATTCCTGTTTTGGGGGTTGTCTCATTATTGCCCATCTAGTGCACCTGTTATTAATTTCATTAACACCAAAGCAGCTGAAACTGACTAACAACCCCCTCTGCTACTTAATCAATCAGATCAATATCCCAGGCGTTTAATTGACTTGATGCTATAATCTGATTAAAAAGTGTCCTTACATTTTTTGAGCAATGTAGTTGCCAAGCAATGGATTATCTATACTTCTACATGGTAAGTCATACCCTTTTTAAAATCAAACCTTACCATATTACCTCCAGGGTTATTTTTTGCAGTGCAGGTTGTACAAACAATTTAAACTTTTTTTTTTTGCCTTACCTCTAAATATTGTCATGTTTATACTTTAGTGCTCCATAGCCAGCATTTAAAAAGAATCGATTTAGATCAATAGTTACCATGCAATTAACTAAGTGAAAAATAACGTTAGGAATCCAGCATAATGTATTCATTTACATTTGGTTTGTTCTTGAGCATGTTAGAAAAATTAGCATTTGTCTATTTTTAATTGGATATCTGGAAACAAAAGTGAGCATGGATTTCCCTATTTATATGAGCTTTGTAAACAACAATCAAGCAAAATTTGTACACTTCCCAACTAAATCCATTGAATATTTAACTAAATGGAAAAGATTTGGACTGCTTTTGTTCTTAGACATGTAATACACACAGATGTGCAAATAGTTCTTTGATTCACATGGAAACATTCATTTATCCTATTCTTTCAACTACAAAGGAAATTTCTATTTAATCTTAACTCCAATAGGCAGCAATTTTTCTTATTTGTAAACATAACTTGTCAATGCCGTCTTCTTCAAGCTTACAGAGGAACGCTTTTTGGTTGTACCCAGAGGAATTCATGTTCCTTTTTATGTAGACCAAGAACTGGCTTGCTCAGTGTAGTAAGGGTGTATTTTCGATCACCCAATGATGAATTTGGGGTGAATTATCAAGTTTCAAATTCCCTTTGATGTACATTTTTGGGCAATTCACAGTGGGTGCTTTTTAACACTAATAATGCCCTGACAGGGGCAGACTGACCATTTGGAAACTCAGGCACTGCCCGAGGGCCCGGGGTCAGTAGGGGGCCCCATGAGATGCCCCTGATACCTTTTTCAAAGGCTTTTTTGAGTTTGGGCAAGGACACAGGGGCCCCTGTGTATGACACAACTGGAGGTTTTTGGAATATGTTTTAAATGAGAGATGGCTCTCTTTTAATTGGATGAGTTGTCAGTCCGCCCCTGTGCCCTGAGCATCCCTTTAGTCCTGACCAACAGACTCACATCAATCGATAATGAGGGAGGAATACGATTACCTATTCCCAAACTATAGGGACAGAGAGCACCCATGGTGTCAGTATGTAGGCACTTCTGTAGGAAAAGAATAGGGAGAGATCACTGATTACATAGGGAGAGACTAGGATCATTTAACAAAATGCTTTACTCTGCAATGTCTGCTCATCAAAGACAACCTAGTACATCTCGATGCAGACACATTAGTTGTTACTAAAACTAGAACCAGATAATAATAGATTGAGATGTTTCTGTTGTCTGTAAGCAAAGCTAATTGTAATAGGAAAAAAATAATAATTCCACAGCCAAAAATGCACTGCTAAAGTGCACTGTCTCTGAAGCAGTCCATGAAAACCATGCTGGCTTGGTAACTCCACGTACAACCTTAACCCCTTGGCACCAACCGCCTCCCGGCTCTTTAAGAGTTGTAAAAGTCAACGGGCATGTATTTCTTCCATGTGACCACTGTGATTGGCTGTATGTATCGGGAGCTTACCGATCCCTGCCCGCTATCATGCTTGGAGCGGGCAAGGAGCACTCTCTCAGCATACTAAGATGTTTTAACACAGCCACATATAAGCAGCCAGGAGGCGTTAAAGCCCACCTGCTGAGCGGCCGCATATATGCATATACAGTCAGGTCCATAAATATTGGAACATCGACACAATTCTAACATTTTTGGCTCTATACACCACCACAATGGATTTGAAATGAAACGAACAAGATGTGCTTTAACTGCAGACTGTCAGCTTTAATTTGAGGGTATTTACATCCAAATCAGGTAAACGGTGTAGGAAATTACAACAGTTTGCATATGTGCCTTCCACTTGTTAAAGGACCAAACGTAATGGGGCAATTGGCTTCTCAGCTGTTCCATGGCCAGGTGTGTGTTATTCCCTCATTTTCCCAATTACAACGAGCAGATAAAAGGTCCAGAGTTCATTTCAAGTGTGCTATTTGCATTTGGAATCTGTTGCTGTCAACTCTCAAGATGAGATCCAAAGAGCTGTCACTATCAGTGAAGCAAGCCATCATTAGGCTGAAAAAACAAAACAAACCCATCAGAGAGATAGCAAAAACATTAGGCGTGGCCAAAACAACTGATTGGAACATCCTTAAAAAGAAGGAATGCACCGATGAGCTCAGCAACACCAAAAGACCCGGAAGACCACGGAAAACAACTGTGGTGGATGACCAAAGAATTCTTTTCCTGGTGAAGAAAACACCCTTCACAACAGTTGGCCAGATCAAGAACACTCTCCAGGAGGTAGGTGTATGTGTGTCAAAGTCAACAATCAAGAGAAGACTTCACCAGAGTGAATACAGAGGGTTCACCACAAGATGTAAACCATTGGGGAGCCTCAAAAACAGGAAGGCCAGATTAGAGTTTGCCAAACGACATCTAAAAAAGCCTTCACGGTTCTGGAACAACATCCTATGGACAGATGAGACCAAGATCAACTTGTACCAGAGTGATGGGAAGAGAAAAGTATGGAGAAGGAAAGGAACTGCTCATGATCTTAAGCATACCACCTCATCAGTGAAGCATGGTGGTGGTAGTGTCATGGCGTGTATGGCTGCCAATGGAGCTGGTTCTCTTGTATTTATTGATGATGTGACTGCTGACAAAAGCAGCAGGATGAATTCTGAAGTGTTTCGGGCAATATTATCTGCTCATATTCAGCCAAATGCTTCAGAACTCATTGGACGCCGCTTCACAGTGCAGATGGACAATGACCCAAAGCATACTGCAAAAGCAACCAAAATGTTTTTTAAGGGAAAGAAGTGGAATGTTATGCAATGGCCAAGTCAATCACCTGACCTGAATCCGATTGAGCATGCATTTCACTTGCTGAAGTCAAAACTGAAGGGAAAATGCCCCAAGAACAAGCAGGAACTGAAGACAGTTGCAGTAGAGGCCTGGCAGAGCATCACCAGGAATGAAACCCAGCATCTGGTGATGTCTATGCGTTCCAGACTTCAGGCTGTAATTGACTGCAAAGGATTTGCAACCAATAATTAAAAAGTGAAAGTTTGATTTATGATTATTATTCTGTCCCATTACTTTTGGTCCCTTAACCTCCCTGGCGGTATGATTATTTCAGATTTTTGGTGCTGAAAGCGGTACCATTTTTTTGCATGGAAATATGTATTTTTTTTTATTGTAGGCTGTAATTTTTAGGAAAAACTCACTGAAATCTGTCCGAACAAGAGTCTAGTAAACATCCCGGGTATGATAAAAATTTGAAACACAAAATCATAAATTATAATTTAATAAATAATCATAAAAATAATATAAAAATAATAAAAAAATTTAATTCAATAATATAATCAAACCAAAAACACTGAAATGTGAAATAGAGCGCCAAGTTCGCACATTGCTGAGCTCAGTCGCAAAATCGTTTTCAGTTTCTGATGACGAATTTCCCCCACGAATCATTATCACTCAATTCTGTAAGTGGTTCTGATTTACTATCGCTGTTCTCTAGCTGATCTAAACCGCTTTTGACCTAAAGGGACACTTTTTGGACGCCATGGACATTTCTCAGTTTCCAGGCAGAAAGAACAGACAAAATGCAGGCAGGGCGCAGGACAAAGCACTAGGGACAAAATGTATGTGAAATAGGTTGAAACAGCAATGTTTTACTGTGTAAAATGAAAAAAAAAAAAAAAAAAAAGACATTTTTTAAAATTTTTAAATTTCCCGCCGCCGGCTGCGGCGGCGCCCGTACGTCCCGACGTCACATGGACAGGACACAGAAGCCGGATGCCGGCATCGGCCGGAGGAGATGGCCGGGGACGCTGCAGGGGACACATCATGGGAGCGCAGGGTAAGGTAAGTGAAGAACACATCCCGGAGCAGCGCCGCATGGTATTCCCGAGTGTAGCTCGGGGTTACCGCTTTTGGTACTGAAATGTTACCCCGAGCTACACTCGGGAATACCGCCAAGGAGGTTAACAAGTGGGAGGCACATATGCAAACTGTTGTAATTCCTACACCGTTCACCTAATTTGGATGTAAATACCCTCAAATTAAAGCTGACAGTCTGCAGTTAAAGCACATCTTTTCATTTCAAATCCATTGTGGTGGTGTATAGAGCCAAAAATGTTAGAATTGTGTCGATGTCTCAATATTTATGGACCTGACTGTAGCTGGTGCCAAAAGATTAAGGCATTCCCCAAACATGGCATCCCGAATACATCTCTGCTAATACAGAGAGAACTGCGAGTGAGTCCTCCCCTTTACATGACTCCCCGGAATACCTCACCCATGATGGGTGAGACCCCTGAGTACACACACCTTTTTTCCTCTTAAAAGGACCATAATGCAAATATTGGTTCCACATAGCACCCATCCAGGACCCATTCCTGGCATCCTGTACAGTATATATATACTTTTTTGCAGATCCTTCCACTTGCTCATTGTCATTCTTTCTCCCTCTGTCTTTCTTTCTGGGAGGGCGGATTCCCCACTTAGATACAGACTACACAAATTTTAGTCATGGCCAATCACCACATATTATGACTTGTATGGATTAGGTGAGATTTTTGGTAATGTCTTTTCTGATGCCCATGGGTGCCTCTGACCTCGGCCCAAGCTTGTCTGTCCCCCCTGCGGATTACCAATTCTGGGGTTTCTCTCCTGCTGGGGCTTGTGTGGGTAGGAGGGGGGTAGGTTGTGATATGGTGTTTTGGGGTTGGTTGTGGGTTTTATTTCTTCTTTTCGTTCCCCCAGGTCATTTTCGGTATTTTTGAATGCAATTTATTTGTATATCTACTTTTTTATGTTCCTATATATTATTTGGTTTTTTGTTTTGTTATCCATTTCAAACATGGATCCTGAGGAAGCAAATATAGTGAAACATGATTTTACACACTTGTTATATATTGTATGATTTATGCGAACTGTATGACCAGGGGCGGACTGACCATTTGGAAACTGCCCGAGGGCCCGGGTCAGTAGGGGGCCCCATGAGATGCCCCTGGTACCTTTTTCATAGGCTTTTTTGAGTTTGGGCAAGAACACAGGGGCCCCATGATCCCCTATTTCCCGGGGGCCCCATGAGTTGTCAGTCCGCCCCTGTGTGTGACACAACTGGAGGTTTTTGGAATATATGTTTTAAATGAGAGATGGCTCTCTTTTAATTGTATGAGTCAATAAATATATGCTTTTATAAATATTGGGTCTGACTATGTCTCCCATTGTCAGGCACATGTAAAGTCCCTTTCTAAGGAGGAAATTCATACCTAGTAATAGGTGTGGTGACCCATTTTTTCCCATATATATATATATATATATATCTTTTTGGGATGGTGCCACAATGTGGATTTATGATTTAGGTTCCGCTCACACATCACTTGAATGTTAAATATGTATAAGTAAATCAACAAATATGTTAGTAATTAAAGAGATGAGTTAACAACCTTGTCATGTCACAGTAGTGTAATTTACATTTATGAGAAAACTGGCAGCTTCCAGAGACTGTTCACTCCCCTACCTGACAATGCAACAAAGTGTATGGAGAGGTGATGTGTGAGTGAGGGTCTGGGTACTGCTTACATATTGCCCATTGCTCAGTACTCCTCTTCTGCACATACGGCCCACTACCATACCCTTCACGCAGGCCCAGACTGATACAAAAAATAGGCCTGGGCATTTTAGATTGAGAAGCCCATTTCCCTTTTTTTTAACCAAATTACAAATAATGGCAACTACCTGTTGCAGTATTCTCATTGGGTAGTAATATAGGTGAAATCAAAGTGGATGAAGGTGTAATGGTAGTAGTTGGTGACCCCACACATCTGTCTCTTGCAGGTAACCCTATCATCCTCATGTCCTACTGAGTGCTTTGAATTTCAGGATGTCCATTCAATGCCAGCTATCAATTGTCCGCAATGGAGAGCAGCACCAATGATCAGAGTGCTGCCATCTCTGTCCATTGTTGGTGTCCCCTGTCATTTGTCAGAACCTTGAAGGTCAGGACCCCCCATTCTCTGCAGGCAGGGTCAGTGCAATGATGTTTGTCTTCTTAGGCGAAAGTGGGGCAGTAGGACAGGAGGGGGGCAGTGGGACAGAAAGTGGGCAGTGGGACAGGTTTGGGGGCAGTGGGACAGGTGGGGAGCAGCGGGACAGGTGGGGGGCAGTGGGATAAGAAGAGGGAAGTGGGACAGGAGGGGGTCAGTGTCTCTCTAATCACACACCTTGGGAATGGCAAATCCTCTCTGGTGGGGGGACAGCAAGACAGGTGGGTGGCAGTGTGAAAGGAGTGGGGAGCAGCATCACAGGAGTGGGGGAAAGTCACGGGAAAGGGGCAATGTCACAGGAGGGGAGCAGTGTCACTCTGATCACACACCTTGGGAAACACCAGTCCTCCCAGATCTCACCTATCCTGCAGCGGCTCCTCCAGATGGTATCAGTCTATAGTATCTGGTGCCAGGCATGGTAACTGTGTCCCAGGCTGGCAGAAGATTTCTGGTGGAAGCTGCAGCACAGAGCAGGGAGCAGGGGCAGACTGACCATTTGTAAACTGTCCGAGGGCCCGGGGTCAGTAGGGGGCCCCCTGAGATGCCCCTGGTACCTTTTTCATAGGCTTTTTTGAGTTTGGGCAAGGACACAGGGGCCCCATGATCCCCTATTGCCCGGGGGCCCCATGAGTTGTCAGTCCACCCCTGGCAGGGGGGGCTTCTTCACCCTGACTTCCTCTTTTTCCTTCTCCATGGGCCCTCTGCTGGTATCCCCTGGCCTCACCCACCCTGCACAGCCAGGTGCACCCTGCCATTCCTGATTGGAGCCTGCATGACAGCTGGCTCCAACTGCTACCAGCACACCTGGATCCGCCCACTGCTCCACCCCACTCTGCATCTTTGCAAGTGTGCTTTGACAGCAGGACATACAGCCCGCCCACATGCCTCCTGCTCTCTCCTTGCACTGTCAATAGCCTAGTAAACAGCAGACAAACTAAAACTTCCACGCTGCTGTGGCAGTTTTAGTTTGCCTGCTGGGGGACATGGAAGACAGAAAAATTCAAATCCCCAGCAAGTGGCTAGATATTTTTATTTTACTGCACCCCCCCCCCCCCCCAGTCTGGCACCCTAAGGCTGCTGCCTATGCTGCCCTGTCTGCAAGCTATAGATGGTGCTCCATTGACAGATCCTGGGAGAGGGGGCTCAGCAGGCTAAAGAGCTGTTTGTGATTATAAATTACAGCGAGGCTGAGCAGTGTATTAGCGGAGTAAGCTGCATTGATGCTGAGGCAGCAGCTCTGCTGGCAGCTCAAGAAGCATGATCGGAGCCAGCACCTCCTCAGCACACACTGGGCTCCCCCAATCATGCCCCTGCAGAGCTTCTCCTGGGACAGGGAGCTGTCCTTCTTCCTGTGCTGGGAAATTAAGTGCCCAATGATTTAATGGAGTGCTTCATCCTCTCTGGCTACCGGAGGGCTGCATATTACCCCAGGAGTGCTTGGCCTTCATTTCTGGACCCACTTCATCCCCTTGGTGCTGTTTGTCAGCAAGTTCTCGCAGCTGCAGGTATTGTTCCTGTTCCCCAAGTTGTCCTTCACCCACTTAGCGCTGCTGCCACTGTGGTGCTGTGTCTCCGGAGTGCTGCTAAAATTTATCATGAGTTGCACAGCCTGTGTGTTCAGCTGCCTCTCCCTGCGCCAGCATGCCACCTTCTTCTTTCTGGACTATGCCTCCATCATCTTCTACAACTTAGCCAACTTTTGTTAGGACGTGCAACGCAGCGACCCTGGCCCACTGGGCAAATGCCCAGTGTGCCCTATGGCCAGTTCGGGCCTGCCTTCACACATTTCCTCTGTCAGTACTATCCATTTTTCACACCCTCTGCATTCCTCTCCTACATCTACTGCCTACTGTCATACCCTCCAAACAACTGTCCTATTTTTTATAACCCCATCTATTTATCCTATGCATGTTCAACTTTGCAGTTCTTTATCAATTACTTTTATAAAATGAATCATTATTTATGGAGAGAAACCACAAGTCTTATATCACGATAAAGAAAACTAGTATTTAGAATTTGTTATTAAACATTAGTCTGAAATCTGTGCGTCACAATAAAATAAATGTGCTTAAGCCCAGAGACAGATGCTATTCTACTTTTTTTTTCATTATAAACATGCAAGTGACGCGAGCAAATATTTGCAGCATGTGTTCTGATGTTTACAACCCTACCACATAATGTGTGCAGACATCTGTGACACACTAATACAGCATAACACTTTGATCTCTAGAGATGTCTTCGCTACAAGCCTTCAATGAAAACATTTGATGGAAAAGAAATGTGAGCTGAAAATTGAGATTTTGCTTCCAACTTTAGATCCATTGTGACTTTGACACATGCTTTGCCAAATATAGCCCAAAATAGAGCAATTTTTGTCATTTTGAATTAACTAGTAATTTCATTGTTAATTTAATAATTAATTTAAAACAGTTGGTTCACCATGTAAATCAATGCTGCACAAACAGGTTCTTTGAAGCTACAAGTCTTTATATGTACTCCCACCAAGACACTCGCAGGGCAGCAGGGGTGTGCAAAATCACGTGATTTTGCAGTTCCGGGTAGGGAGAGGAGCCTTTTTTTTTCCCTTTTTTTTTCGGGTCGGTGGGGGTGGCAGGCATCGTGATTGACGTTGGATCTACTACGGGGGACATTCTTTTATTTTCCTTCTTTTAACCAGTTGCCGCCCGGCCTATAGCCAGATGGCGGTCGGTCGAGCAGCTCGTCCCTCCGAGTGGACGCCATATAGTGTCCTTTCAGGCACGCGCAGTGCGCCTGCCCACAGGGCCGTCTGTGGCGCGATCTGTCACCAGCCGTGTACCTCGAACACGGCCGATGACAGATCTGTGTACCGGCCCTGTTTACAGTACCATGTGACCTGCTGTGACCAATCACAGCAGGTCACATGACAGTTGTATACAATGGATGGCTTCCTTTTCATCCATTGTATACAAGTGTGTCTAGCTGTAAATGGTCACAGTGATCACATGCACAAGCTGGGCCAATCACAGCGCAGCTGTGTCATGTGATTAGCCGTGGCCAAATCACAGCTAAGCACAAAAAAAAAAACCCTGAATGAATCGATGTCATTCAGGTAAATGCTTGCTTATAGCAAAGTAATTCTTTGCTATAAGCAAATTGTGTAAAAAAAAATACTGATCACTTCCCCAAAGTAGTACAATGTTACTATGGTAACATTGTACTACTTTGATCATAGTGAAATATGAAAAAAAATCTTAAAAAAAGAGAAAAAAATTTAATAAAAAATTAAAACTAATAAAATAATAATAAAAAAAAAAATTATCAATTTTTTTTTTCGTACTGTCACCAGTCAGTGTCCCTGATCACCGCCATGCCAGTTTATATGATGTACTGCACTGGTGACAGTATGTAAAAAAAAATAGTGAAAAATAATTTTTTTAATTTTTTCATTTTCCGAAAAATTATGACAAAAAAATTACAACTTCAAAAAACTTGCCATGCCTCTTATGAAGTACGTCGGACTGTCTACTTTGCAAAAAGTGGTCATTTGGGGATATCTGTACTATTCTGACATTCTTGGACCTCAAGAAATTAGATTGGCTGTCAGTACTTCAGAACTGATCAATTTTCAGATACAGTTGTGTCCAAAATTATTCAACCCCCAATGCTGTAAAGGGGTTTAGGGACTATAGTGTACATTTGGAATTGTATTCAGAATCACTACAAGGGACGTTGTAACTACCCAAATGCAACTAAAATGACATCAATTGTTTATGTAATACAGTAGTAAATGGTTCTTATGTGGTTTCTTCATTGCCACAATTATTCAACCCCTTAAAGACTACCACTCTGAAGAACAGAGGTTCATACAGGTGCTTTCCATCAGGTATTGAAAACACCTGTGGATGTCACCGAGCAGCAATCAAGCATAATAAGCACCAATTAGGCAGCTTTAAAATGACTGTGATACTCAGCTCCTTCTAGACATTTACTGGTGTGGTTACAAACATGGTGAAGGCAAGAGAATGGTCCAGGAAGACAAGAGAAGAGGTGATTTCTCTTCACAGGAAGGGCAATGGCTATAAGAAGATTGCAAAGATGTTAAACATACCAAGAGACACCTTAGGAAGCATCATTCGCAAATTCAAGGCAAAGGGCACTGTTGAAACGCTACCTGGTCGTGGCAGAAAGAAGATGCTGACTTCGACTGCTGTGCGCTACCTGAAGCGTAGAGTGGAGAGAAGTCCCCGTGTGACTGCTGAGGAACTGAGAAAAGATTTGTCAGATGTGGGTACAGAAGTTTCAGCCCAGACAATAAGACGCACACTGCGTAATGAAGGCCTCCGTGCCAGAACTCCCAGGCGTACCCCCTTGCTGTCTCCAAAGAATAAGAAGAGTCGACTGCAGTATGCCAAAAGCCATGTGGACAAACCACAAAAGTTGTGGGATAGTGTTCTGTGGACTGATGAAACAAAATTAGAACTGTTTGGGCCCATGGATCAACGCTATGTTTGGAGGAGGAAGAACAAGGCCTATGATGAAAAGAACACCTTGCCTACTGTGAAGCATGGTGGAGGGTCAATCATGCTTTGGGGCTGTTTTGCTTCTGCAGGTACAGGGAAGCTTCAGCGTGTGCAAGGTACCATGAATTCTCTTCAGTACCAGGAGATATTGGATGGAAACGTGATGCAGTCCGTCACACACCTGAGGCTTGGGAGACGTTGGACCTTTCAACAGGACAATGATCCCAAGCATACCTCCAAGTCCACTAGAGCATGGTTGCAGAGGAAAGGCTGGAACATTTTGGAGTGGCCATCGCAGTCACCAGACTTAAATCCGATTGAGAACCTCTGGTGGGACTTAAAGAAAGCAGTTGCAGTGCGCAAGCCTAAGAATGTGACTGAACTGGAGGCCTTTGCCCATGAAGAATGGGCGAAGATACCCGTAGATCGCTGCAAGACACTTGTGTCAAGCTATGCTTCACGTTTAAAAGCTGTTATAACTGTAAAAGGATGCTGTACTAAGTACTAAGATTGAATGTCACTTGGGGGTTGAATAAAACTGATAATGCTGTGAGCACAGAAAAAGACATTTGTGGTTATTTCATTATAACTGTTATGTTATATTTGTCTGACCTACAAGTGCCTCTTTAATGTAAATGTAAGCAAGATGACTGAATGATCAAAAGCAATGTCAAACTGGCCAAAACACTCAATTTCAGTGGGGGTTGAATAATTTTGGCCACAACTGTATGTCCCATAGTTTGTGAACTCTATAACTTTCCTACAAACTAAATAATACATCCTAATTTGGGTTTATTTTCACCAAAGAAATGTAGCAGAATACATCTTGGCCTAAATTTATGAAGAACAATTATTTATTTGCAAACTTTTATAACAGAAACAAAGAAAAACGTGTTGTTTTCAAAATTGTGGGTCTTTTTGTTTGTTAATTTAGCAAAAAATAAAAACCCCGGCGGTGCTTAAATACCACAAAAGAAAGCTCTAGTTGTGTGAAGAAAATTATAAAATTTTAGTTTGGGAACAATGTTGTATGACCGCGCAATTGTCATTCAAAGTGTGAGAGCGCTGAAACCTGAAAAATGGCCTGGGCAGGAAGGGGGTAAAAGTGCCCGGTATGGAAGTGGTTAATAAAGGACTTGTCAAAGACTGTCTCCTGTCTTTTTTCACACTACAGTTT